TACAGTGTTCCAGGCACCAGTTAGAAGCACCAAACCCACCAGTCCCTTGATCTTGGATTTTCCAGCCTCCAGAACGATACAAAATGAAATTCTGCTCTTTATAAATTACCCAGCCTCAGGTATTCTGTTATAGCAGCATAAAATCAATGAATACAGATGTTTGACACAACTCATCTTGATTCACCAACTGTTGGTTAGCACTATCATTCCACCAGTGCAGTCCTATCTGGAAAAAAAAGGTGAAAAATATAAGCTTTAAAAGCAAAAATTCTTCCACCTTGAGATGCATAAATGGCTTGTGTAATGAAGCTCTGTCTAAGATGAGCCTTAACTGGAAACTAAAGACTCTCCCCAATAATGTAACACCATCCCCAACTTTAATCCCCACTGGAGCATAGCGACAAGGCAAGCCCCAACAGCTCAGAGTTCTGTGTGCAGTGGAGCCTGACCACAAGGCCAGGCAAAGTCTGCTTCCTCCCCTGCGCTGCCTTGGCAGGCCTCCAAACAGTAACACCTAACACTTGTTGAGCTCTTGTGTTTCAGGCTATTCTAAGCACTTAGAATGTATATCTTGTTATTTAACTGTCACAATAACCTATTGAGGCAGGGACTATTTTATCCTTATTTTGCAGATAATGCCATTCCATGTCCATTCTCAAGAATTTCTAGCTTGTATACAGGTTCATGTCAATCACTCATGCATTCCTCTTTCTTTCCTGGTTCTAACCTAGGATTATGAGCACAATAAACTGATAGGCAAACAGGGAACAGAATATTCACTTTCTTTATGGAGGTCTAATCACCCCCAAACTACAGGGTCCCTGAAAAGACTGGTTTAGGGAAAGTGATTTGGAATTGAAGTCAAAACAAACAAGGATTCTATTATCTACTGCCAAATCTGAACCTTAGAACCAGTCACTGGAGTATATTGGGTCGTCAGGCAGACTGTTTAAACATGCCTTCGGCCAGCAGTGGTATGATGGATTGGGACCTGTCTCAAAGAGTCAGCAGGAGAGTGCTGGAAAACAAAGGAGAGGTGGCTTTTAGATGGCAGACATGCCAGGCATGGAGGCTCACACCTGTAATCCCAGCATTTTGGAAGGCCAAGGCAAGAGGATTGCCTGAGCCCACAGGTTCGAGACCAGGCTGGGAAACATGGTGAGACCTTGTCTCTACAATAAATTTAAAAAAAAATTAACTATGCATGGTGGTGCACACGTGTGGTTCCAGCTACTTGGTAGGCCGAGGTAGAAGAATTGCCTGAGCCCAGCAGGTTGAGGCTGTGGTGGCGGTGAGCATGCCACTGCACTCCAGCCTGGGTGACAGAGTGAGACTTTTTCCCAAAACTAATAACAATAATAAGTTAAAAAATAACAAATAAAAGAGAAGGCAGACACTGTGCCAGGTCTGTTTACTCCACAGCCCACTGTCCCTTCACAATCTCTGAGAGAGTATCTTCTTTCTTCTTTTAAACATTGCTTTCAAACGTAGCTGCCCACTGGGATCATTTGGAAAAGTTTTAAAAATTGCAATGACCTAATCACAGCCCAGACCAACTAAATCAGATTCTCTGGAACACAAAGTTCTCCAGGAAATTCAAACATGCTGACTACACTGAGAACTGCCACTTTATAGGCTTGGTAACCCCATCCTCTCATAATGCAGCAGGCTATAACTAGCAGTTTTTGAGTGACTACTTTATGCTGAGCAATTTACATAATCGTCCTCACAACTCTATGAGGCAGGTATGATAATCATAGCATTTCACAGATGGGAAGAGGGGTGCTTGAAAAGGCTAAGAGACAGACCTCTTATAAATTTGGGATTATAAATTTGGCATTCTGTCTCAGAGCTGGATACTTCACCAAACACCATGCTGCTCCTTGTGGATGCCCTCACCCCGGCAATCCGATCAGATAACACATTCTTTCTTTACAGGGAAAAGTAAATACGGGTTGGAGATACTGTAAGAGTTCATTCCAATATTCCCTTCTAAATGAGAGTATAAATTCCTTCCATGGAAGTTGAGGAAGCATAAAGGTTTCCAACAACTTTTTTTCCCTAACTTTTATAGAGACTTAGAAAATATGCAATAAGGAGTATAAAAAAAAAAAAAAAAAAAAAAAAAAGCAAAGATGATTAGAAATGTCAACAGTTGAAGACATAAATAATAATTTTTATAGAATCAGCTTTACAGTTCTGAACAGCCATCCTTAGTATATTGAGATCAAGAAGAGAACTGGACAGCACAGTCTATGAAGATAAGACTAGGAGTTGAGAAGGAAGGTGCCATGGTAGATTACGAAAGCAAGAAAACCAAAAGTGATCGCGAACATACAATGACAATGCAAGCTAAGTAAAGCAAAATGAAAACAGAAGCCTGAAAAACCGGAAGGGACTGAGAGGCTGCAAGGCAGGTGAGGTAGAGTTCACATCCTAAGACACTAACACTGAGTCAGGAGATAAAAGGTGATACATTACTCAGTCACTCAGCTATTTTAAAAGGCGAGTATAAGACTGAGAATTCACATTTCACATTTTTATGCCTTTGCAAAGACAGACAGAAATATATACTGGATCTTGCTTTACATAAGTTTGCTGAAAGTGTAAATATGTAAAATAATGTATTAATTTTGCTAATAATAGAAATCCTGGCCCTGAAGAGAACTTAATGACTCGATGGTAACTTCTACAGGATAAATAGTAATTCTCAGCTATTCTTTTTACAACTGAGGATTTTCACATCATGAATTTGCAAGACATTGGCATACATCTATAATTCAACACCGAGGAAAAATGCACCTCATTAAAATAGAGCGTCGTAATACCTGATGAGCAATAGAAAAAGAATTCCTGTACATAGATGTTTCCTTGTTTTATTCTTCTCTTTTCAAGGTCTGAATCATTATTCCCTTCTGAGAAGAAGACTAAAAGGAGGACAAGACTCCACCCATCTGTGCTAGGACACAGCTGCATGGAGCTTATGAAATAACAATTTGCGTCTTCAGAGCTGCGCCTATTTAACTGCTCTTTTATCTATTAGGGAACTTAAATTCTAAAACTGATTTGTTGGGTGGTCACCTTGTTCACCTATTAATTGTCAACTCTATCCTCCCCACAATACACACACTCTCAATACTTAGAGAAGGTAAAAAAAAAATTTTTTTGAGTTGGAGTTTCACTCTGTTCCCCAGGCTAGAGCGTAGTGGCATGCTCCCAGCCACGGCAACCTCGATCTGCTGGGCTCAGGTGATTCTTCCACCTTAGCCTTCCAAAAGTAGCTGGAACCACAGGCACGTGCCACCATGCCTGGATGATTTTTTGACTTGTTGCAGAGATGAGGTCTCAAACCCCTGAGCTCAGGTAATCCTCTCACCTCCACCTCCCAAAGTGAGCCACCACGCAGAGAAGGTAAAATGTTAATGCATTACTACAAGATTATTAAACTGAGGCCGTAGTGTAGTATGACATAATTGGTAGGCACACTTAACTTAGTGCTATCTGAACAAATTCTTCTAGAATCACTTTTTTTTTTTTGTTATACCAACTTTTGGTGTTTTTATGGCCATCCTTAACAAATTTTGAAATGAGTCTTTTTCTGAAAAACATATAGAATATTTCTCTATATTATTCAGTTGACTAGAAATCATAAAATTAAGGTATTAAACATATCTTACATTGCTATAGAGCTCATGTTTTGAAAAATCTGAAAATGGTTTACTCTGGAGTTCGCTTTAAATGGAAGGGATTCGTAGGATTTTATGATTTTATGTATTAGGTTGATCAAAAATGGCTAGATATCAGCAATTTCATATGGTCCAACCTGATTAGAATTAGTTTCACACTAAACAAACAATACGGTCCTATATATTCCAAAGAAAAAAGTCTTTGAAGGAGAGAATGACTTCAGCTACTACGCTACGTGCTAGATACCAACTACAACACAGGTTGTAGTGCCTGCTTCTCATATAACTCTAGGGGTAATAAGAGGCAGGGACACTGTCTAAAATAACTTTTCAATGCAAAATTGTCATGCTGCCAGTCATTTTAAAATCCCATTCCCAAAAGTGTTGTGTTTGTTCGCTTAGCTTTTTCTCCTGTCCACCTTCCACAGAAGGTACTAGCAGGCAATGAAACTTCAGAGTTAAGATTAGGTAGAGGCCAGGCTCGGTAGCTCAGCCTTTAATCCCAGCGCTTTGGGAGGCCAAGGTGAGTGGATTGCCTGAGCCCACAGGTTTAAGACCCGCCCAGACAACTTGGCGAGACCTCATCTCTACAATAAATTAAAAATTAGCCAGGCGTGGTAGAGCACGGCTGTAGTTCCAGTTACTTGGAAGGCTGAGGTGGAAGGATCGCTGGAGCCCAGCAGGTCAAGGCTGCGGTGGCCGGGAGCGGCCACTGCACTCCAGTCTGGACGACGGAGTGAGACTCCAACTCAAAAAAAAAAAAAGATTAGGTAGAAACCTGAGTCACCAGTCATCTCACAGGCAATAACTGGCTAGAGAAATACTGGCTTTGTTGTAAGTCAGAAGCTGACTTGATCATATCTTCAATACAGGACACAAACATCTACAATCACCAAATGACTTTATAGAAAATTAGCCACATTAAGTATGATATGTAGAGATCACAAAACTAGTCTGAGGGAAGGCTGAGGAGGAAAGGATCGCTGGAGCCCAGCAGGTCGAGGCTGCGGTGGCCGGGAGCAGCCACTACACTCCAGTCTGGGCGACAGAGTGAGACTCCAACTCAAAAAAAAAAAAACTAGTTTGAGAATATGTTTTAAAATTCTGAAACATAAATAAGTATTTTCTTATTTTCAAGTGAGGGAAGGGGTTCCCACATTTTCTGGAAGAAAAAATAAAGACCAAAACAAAGCACATAAAGATAGAGTAACAAATCATTTTCTATGGAGAACCACAGAGATTTCCATTCTGAATCCTCTACTTCTCTATTCTAAAGTGTTGAGATTTAAATCAATTCAGACGCTCCACACACAATTATTTGAGACTCTTCTCATTTTTATTTTTTAAAAAAGACAGATTTTGGATATGGTAAGAAATTACTAAGTTACATTTTCTTTTTTAAATCTGTCAATTGCTACGGTAATGGAATAAATAAATATTTTTTAAAGTCCAATGTTTATAGACATACTTATAAAAAATGACTGAATTAGAAGACATTAAATAATGTTGATACACACCAGGAAGGAATTTAGGCAAGGAAAGGCACATCATTTTACCACAAGAAATAAAGACCATAGTCGGAGGTTAATGGACAGCCAAAACTTTAAATCTTGTGGTAGGTTTCCCAGCTCTGGAGGATCATTATAGTGGAGACTTCTTTATGGTACTTGGCTGAAATAAACAGGTAGCAGTTGGGGAATTTTACTCTGTCACCCTTCTGTAATGTTAAAAAGAAAGCACACTTTTAATAACCATGTTATGTGAAGGGGAAGAGGCAAAAATCCAAAATGATTTGGTCGTACTGAAAATTCTATTAAGGAGAGTTTTTTTTATTTTTTTAAGAGTAAAATAATAAAATTAGACTAACCCTCTTGTCTGGTTGAAGTACAACTCTGGCAGTTACTAAGTTAAAATTTCAAGTAAACACTGTATTTTTCACTTTTTGTAGACCGACATAGTGTAGACATAAACAGCTGCCATATTTCACCTCAGATGAAGCTACGTGCCAACATTTAGGGAAAAAGATCTTGGTTTATTTCCCAATTTTATAAAGCTTAAATCTTTGAAAATAGCACTTACACCACTGGCTGACTGGCTATCTACAACAGCGAATTGAACATGAAGTTTTGACAGTGATAAGAGGTTTCCCATAAAAACTAAAGAGTTTTTACTTGAACAGATACACTTGACTTCTACTGAAAAGTCTATCAGACACTAGTAGAAATTGCTTGAGGTCAATTTCCTACCTCCAATTTTCTTTCACAAATTCATGCCAAACCTCTATCCATTACTTTCTGTCTGGACTCAGGACCTAGATTAGTTTGTCTGAAAGATGGAATCAGAGTAAACCACATAAATTTTAGTGGTATCAAGTGTGAATTTAGTGGTGTGTGTGTATAAATAAAATAGATTTTCAAAATTAAATGGTACATCCACAAAAAAATAAAAATTAAACATAACTGGGAGAGTGGCAAGGGGAAATGTCAGTATTAAAAAATGATAAACATGGCAATGTTAAAACAGGCAGCTTCCCGCTCACGCCACACGATAGGCCTTCATTATGGTATACTCCTTGCGGTTGGTATGCGCAGCCCAGATGAAGAGAGCAGACGCCATGAACTGTAAGGGGGCGGAGACGCAAGCCAGGCAGAAGGACCATCCAAATTCACCCAACACATTCTCAGGGAGTTCCAGTTTCTGGTGGAGTAGTTCGATTCCAGCAACATAACAACTTACTGAGCCCAGTGTACACAGACCTTGGGGAGGAAATTTAGAAAACAAAACAAAGCTTAGTAAAGAGCTTTTCCAGCAATGAGACAGGGCAATAATAAGTGAATGTTTAAGACTTGTAATTCTGTAGTGCCTAAGGAGAGAAGAGGCTGCTAAGAGGTACGTATGCTGACAAGACCTACCTGCAAGGAGATGGAGAATGCCTGTGGCAATGGTGGGATATAAGCTTCGGCAAATGCAAGCACAAAGTCCAATCAAAGCCCCAAAGCACATCAAACCTAAACTCACAAAAGGTAAAAGGAACTGGCAACGCCAAAGATCTGATTTTTAAAAAGAGAGAAAAGAGAACAGAAATGAAACTAGGATTCAGATCATTTTCCCAAATGGCAATTTCTTCCATATTCTAATTCCATCTTTTCTCAAAAAGTGAGAAGTAGTTTAACACTGATGCCTCTTTTCTAAAGCACATTGTTCAAAAGGATGATAACTTTGTCCTGATAAAAGTAAAAGCATACTAACAGGCAACAATTACTGAGGGCTTACTATATGCCATGCAATGTTTGTCTATACACACTTGTGTATTAATTCTCCCAACAATAGGAAGTAGGTACTTTTGGCCCTCTCTGTCTATAGTTCTGAATCCATGGATACGATCAACCACAAATCAAAAGTATTCAGGAAAAAAAAATCAAAAACAACAATTCAATAATAAAAAATAATACAAATGAAAAAACACAGTATACATAATTTATATAGCATTTATATTGCATTAGGTAGTATTACTCTAAAGATGACTTAAAGTATATAGGGAGGACTGTGTAGGCTATATGCAAACACTATGCCATTTTATATAAAATACTTAAGCAACCTTAGACTTTAGTATCCAAGGTGGGTCCTGGAACCAATCCCCCATGGATACTGAAGGACAACTGTACTATCAGGATCTCCATTTTATAACTGAGAAAACTGAAGGAAGAGGCATAAATAACTTGTATGAAGTAACACAGTAAATGGTAGAGCCAGAATTTGAAACAACACAGTCTGGCTCTATGTACAAACAATAGCTATGTCCTTATACAATCTAAAGGCAGTGCTAACAAGTAAATAAATGGTGATTATAAATGATCTATCATTCAGGGCTGTTGAAAAACATATAAAGCACAAAGCAGAGAATCTGGAATATTACAGGTACCAATAAATGCAGTTTTAATTTCATAAATCCCTTAGCGACATGGGTAGAAAACTGATGACCTTATAAAGCATCCCATTCCATGTTCAGATAATTTTAACGATTAGAAAAGCATTAACATCAATCCTAACCAAATTCTACCTTTCGGCACTCAGGGACTCATTTAGAGCTTACATTCAACCTTTTTCACACTATGCCTATAACTCAAGCAGTGGAAGTATTTAATTCAAATACAGAAATTTATCATTTGATGCAACTAAATTTCCTCTTAAGTAACTGGACCCACTCGTAAAATCTTTTGGAAGTCTGGTTTGCACCACCTAATGTATTAGCTGCCTCCCTCAACTTTCAAGTCATTTGAAATTTAGTATTTACCTTCTAAAATATGTTATCAATAGAACAGAGTTCGTTGGATATCATCAGAAATCTTATTTCAAACTGACACTACCTACTAACTCATCTTGTTCCCAAAACAAAAGACAAACTTTTTTTATTTTCTTTCCAATTGTCCTGGTGAAATCAAAGTACTCACAGGTCCTAAGTAGATCAATTCCACTATTGTGGTTTCCGGGATCAACAAATTTCTCCATGAACTGCTCAGTTAATGTGAAACTCGTGCATTTTGTGACCACATCAAATGACTCTGGAACAAGAATAACAATGGCTTGTTGTTTTAATTATAAACATTTAACAATAATCTCTTTCAGTAATTATTCTCTGAAATACAAAGTGAAAGAATACACAGGAACTTTGATCTCTCCTAACCCTGCTCTAGCAGCCACGTCATCATGTCAGGGAATGACAGTTCACCCTTCCAGTTCCTCAGACCGGAAACTTTACAGCCATTCTTGCCCATTTACATTGCATCAGGAAATCCTAGAAGTTCTTCCTCAAAACATATCCAGAATCCAGCTGCTGCTCAGTGCTGGATTACTCAGACCACCCTGGTCTGAGTCATAATCATCTTACGTGAATTACTGCAATAGCCTCCTAACCAGTATCCTAGCTTCCACCCTTGCCTGCTGCCTGTCTGTTCTCACCACATCAGCCAGGTTGGCTTTCATTGCTCAAAGCCACCATGGCTCACCACTGTACTCAGAGTATAACCAAAGTCCTTGCCATGCCTCCAGAGTCCTCTATGATTTATCCCATTCACACCCCCAGAGTTCGTCTCTGACAGCATACCCATCTCCCTCCACTCCAGCCCAGTGGCTTCCTTGCTGGTCCTCGGTATCTCAGGCATGCTCCTACCATAGGCCTTTGCAGTAGCTATTCTTTCCAACCTAAATGAATCCCCCTTGCCCCTCAACTACCCAGACACACAGTTCCTTCACCTGGTCTTTACCTATATAAAGCCTTTACTCAAGTGGTGTCTTGAGGAAGACCGATCCCAACTACTCCCTTGGAAATTATAACCTATGCCCACCAATATTCCCCTTCCCAATAAATCTCTTTATTATGTCCGGTTTCCATTACATATGCCATCTTTTAACATACTAAATAATTATTTATTATTTATACTGTTATACATATTGTTTCTTGCCTATCCCCAGGAGTACGGATTTTTTGTTTTCTTCCCTGATGTTCTCCAAGCTACGAGGCCCTGACACATGGAAGCATGCAACAAGTGTTGTTGAATGAATGACTAAATAACAGCAAGACTCCAATATCAAGTGTTTCCAAATTCTCAGAAATAGAACTGAACAATTTAGAATGAATTTTAACCAATTCTCTCCCCTTTCTTTCCAAACTACTTCCTTTTTTTCACATATAATTGTCATCCTTTTTGATGAATAGCATGTCCTGCTATAATTTGAGTACAATGTTTCTCCACTAAAAGGTCAACAAAGTACTTATAAATAAAAATAAACATAAAGTTATTCCTCACAAAGTGGTCTAATGCTTCTATTTGAATAACTGGAAATTAAAATCTTTAGGTATTAAATATGATTGCAAAATAAACCTGAAAAACAACTTAAGTTTTTTTTTTTTTTAACTTCTCTAATACAAATTTTTTAACCTACAAACTCTGTATCAAGATTGCTGTTAACCAGTTTCAAATATACACAGATTTAAAGCTAGAGCTGGCCAAATGGTATCTTCTTAGATATGGGAGCAAATGACAGATATGTATTATCACACAGCTGACTCAGGAAAGGACAATAGGTTCACACTTGTTGATTTTATTTTGGAGATGTTAGTCCTCCTACTGTTACCAAGTATTTAAAGTCTTCCAATGTCCTTTTCCAACGACTTCCTCATGACATGTATGAGATTAATAAAAAGCATTTCAATGAGTAAAGAAGTACAGAAATTTAAAATGGCTTTCCCAGGATAAGGACATGACTCATCCAACCAACGCTGATGAGTAGTAGGGTAATGCAAAGAAGTTAAAGAAAAGTGGCAGGAGGACAAGATATATGAAAGATGTTATTTATTTAAGGAGGGACAGGACCAACAAACCTGCTTTGATGTCATCGAGCAATCATCGGGTCAGTTTTGCTATCACTGAGTAGGTAAAGGAGAGAGAAGTGAAAGAGAGATACCTGTCCTTTCTGGTGGGCTATACCAATGTGTGTTTTTAGGTATGGTGATACACCGTCTCCATAATCCCATTGTGCCATTGTATCGAAAAAGTGCATCATTGTAAGTCTTTTCATCTGCCTCATCACTAAAGAAGTCTTCCCAGATGCTTTTGTTCAAATCACTGGAATTTTCTTGAACTGGACTTCGATATTCATACCAGAAGTCTGTGCCAATTGAGGCTGCCATGTAGATGGTGGAAATGAGGCTAAGCACACAAGCAATTACAAACGCTGTAGCAAAACGGTTATCCATTCTGGCATTCAGACTGCTCTGTTTAAAAGTTGAAGAAAGAAGAAAAGTTAGACTTTAAGGAACAAATAAGAAGGATGATTTTAAAAGTCATGATCTCAAAAGCACCCTTTACCCTATTCCCCATCCCTTGGTTCTTTAAAGTAATATATAATCATCAAGTTTAAAAAAAAAAAAAAAAAAACGCAAGCATGTTCTTAATTAAGTTCAAAACAAAACTGATTCCCATAAAAGTACTTATCGAATGCTCACATACCCAGGATGCTACGGAGACAGAGGTCTTGTTCTCTAGTCTATCACCTGCATACTAAAACAGACAACACTGAAATGGACATACACATTACAGATACAAACAATAGACATGCCCATGGTCAGCAGTGCACCATGCACACATTTTTAAGTTATAGACTGAATTTTCATACAAGCTGCTGAGCATTAAGTGTTCTGCGTTTGAACGTGAAAAAGGTATAGGAAAAGGAAGCAGTGGAAATCAGCTCCTCCCAGGTTCCTCTCAAGAGGGGAGCCGCTTAAAACAAGGGTCAGAATCAGGAGCTCTCTGAAAGACAGAGTTGGGGATGTTTGTTAACCCCCGAGGGAAGGGTTGTTGTCCTTGGTGTATGGGATAGCAGAGAGAACAATAACATGTAATAATGCGAGATATCAATCTCCCCCTAATCCAGCAGTGCTAAGCCGGGCTCCTGTTCGCTGCCCCATTCTTCACTCCGCTCCCCTCATTCCTTACACTTCTGCACCTCCTCGACTGCCACCTTGCTCTGCCCCTAAATCCTAAAGTGTCACTCAATGATCCCTTCTCAGCCAGACAGCAAACTCTGAATTGGGCAAAACAGGAACACTCCCGAGGCGTGGACAGGGCTCAGCAGCAGAGGTAAATGGCCGCAGTAAAATGACTCAAGGCGGATCGCGCTGAGTCAAATACTACACCGCAAGTAGACCAGTGGCCGCACCAAGCACCTCACAAAGGTGCAGGAAAACAGCCTCGCCCGCTGGGACGGCTGAGTCCGGGAGAGGGGACGCGACTCGGGAAAAGATCAGGACGACTGCCATCACTCGCGACCACTCGAGAAGTTGGGTTTGCATTCCGATCTTTTAAAACCCGCCTTCCTCCGGGTGCTCCCTAATGACCTTAAGAGGTCCCGGCCCCTGGCACCGCGGCTCGTGTCAGCCGGACGCCCCGGGCCGCACC